CACACACACACACACACACACACACACACACACACACACACACACACCCCGGTTTGTCCAGTTCACATTAACTTGGTTTCTTTTTATTTTTTAAGCAAGATTATTAGACTCTTAGCTAAAGAGTATGCTATAGATGTAGCATCACACCAATATAACTGGATTTCAGTAAACCATTTGATGAAGACTTTCATAGTATACATGTGAACAAGCTGGAAAGAATGATGTGGTTTGGAGGAAGTCAAGTACATTCAGAACTAGTTGCATGATCTAAAGAGGTGATTATTGGATTGATAACAACCAGGAGGGAACTGTGAGTTTCCAATCTAGTCCAACTATTCCTAATGCTCTGTCATATTCAAAATTTGCACCATCACCTTGGGTGAAGACATAGTTGGAATGCTTATCAACTTTGTGGATGATGTAAAGCTTAAAGGATTATGTAATAAATTTGGATATGTGGCAGAATCAGTTTGCAGAAAGGTTTTACTTAACAGAATAGTGGGCAAAATGTAATAACATGAATTATAATCATGATAAATCTAAAATCTTCACATAGGCTAGTGATAGACTCTATCTATCACCTGGAGAGCAACCTTAGCTAAGTTGGAGAAGCCTGTCATTAAGCTGATTACCTGAAGGGTGTTGAAAATTTAGGTCTTGGCCACTCTCAAAAAACCATTTACTAAGTCAGAAGTAGGTTGCAATCTCCGCCAATGTGAAGGGAGTATTGACACTAACAAAATCACCTATGTTTCAAGTATACACATAAATGTAAAGTCCAATGCTAAACTTCAAAAAAATTAGTTGTTACAAATACCAAATTGGGAGATTTGGCTGAACGGTAGCTTTTGTGAAAAAGAGCTAGATAGTGTGGTGGATTGTAAACTCAACAAAAATTCGCAAGTGTCACGTGATTATTGGAAAAGCTAATGCAATTTTTGGCACAATGAATAGCAGTATGATGTTCAGAATGTGCAAAATTCTGTTGTTATGCCTCTGCCCTGACCAGCCCACTTCTGTAAGTACCGGGTTCATTTGTGGGTGCCAGATTTTAAGTGGAAGGATATTGACAAGCTGAAATGCAGCCATTTAGGGTGAGATACTGAGGGGCTTAGAAATCACGTTACTTAAGGATTGGTTGAATGATTTTGCTGTCATTGAGGCTGCCCACCTCTTCCCATTCCTAGTCATGCCCACCTTATGGGAACCCCCTGGTATTCAGAATGTGACTGAAAGGCTAATCTCTAGCACTCAGATTCTACATGGAGAATGGCAGAAATACTGGGTTCCTCTTTGTAGATCATGTATCGGCTATCAATATTAGCTATCAGCTGAGGTAGTAACTTTTTTTTTTTGGTTTGTTTTTAGGCAATTGGGGTTAAGTGACTTGCCCAGGGTCACACAGCTAGTGTCAAGTGTTTGGTCTGAGGCCGGATTTGAACTCAGGTACTCCTGACTCCAGGGCTGGTGCTGTATCCACTGCACCATCTAGCCGCCCCTGAGGTAGTAACTCTTTAAAGCAGGGGCTCTTTGCTTGGAGTCCCCAAGGAGTCAGTGCATCAATTTCACTGGGTCCATGAATTTGGATTACATCCTAATTTTCATTGATCACTGGGTTTCCTTCATAAGCCTATGCATTTTATTTTATGCATTTTGAAGGATTCATAGCAAAGATTGGTTGTGACTGTGGTGTTATGCAGACAAAACCACCATCAGGGACAAGGGTTCTTTTCCTCCTTTTGAGTCCTATGGAAGGGCCTCAAGAATCTTCAACTGAGTCTTCTCCATTTGAGCCAGTTCGCACATGGGCTTGATCCTAATGATGTTCAAGGACATGTCTACATATGCATATTTGCGTGTATATACGACAGAAAGCCATTCACAGTTCTTTTGTGAAAAACTGGAGATTTCAGTTTTGTCTCTTCCCCCTAACCCGGTTTTTGTTTTTGGTTTTTTTTTTTTGTTTGTTTTGTTTTGTTTTGGGGGGGGGGAGGCTGCTGTTGGTTCTTTGTATCATTTGTTTCTGCATAAAACCACATCTCCTTTCCCCCTGACACTCCCACACCCTACTCCCCCTTCCCAGCCCAATTCAATCAACTCCAGTGTTTCCCTGTTACACCTGGAATCTAATATCAAATCCTTTATTTGGCTTTTAAAGCCTTTCTTGACCTGGTCCCTTTCTAGACTTCTTACTGCTTACTCCCCTCCACATACTCTGAAATCCAACGATTTCAAGCCCCACACATTTTCTTTGGCTATCCCACTCCCCTGTCTGGAATATTCTCCCTTCTGGCTTCTACCTCCCATCCAGTTTCTAACTCCTACCTTTTGTAAGAAGCCTTTTCCACTCCTTACTGTTGGTTCCTTCCCTTAGAGGCTACACCCAGTTCATCTTGTATTTATCTTGTTGGTACATAGTTGTTTGCATATTGTTTCCTCCATTAGACTGTGAGCTTCTTGAGAGCAGACACTGGTTTTTGTTTTTGTTTTTGCCCCTGTTTTGTATCCCCAATGCTTATCACAGTGTTTTCGCATATAGTGGGTGCTTTGTAAAGGGATATTAATTGTCTGGCATATTGAACCTTACCTTGTAACAAAGAAAAACAAATAAAAGTAAGCAACACATTGACCTTACCTGGATCAGAGATCTGAGATCTGTTCTGAGTCCAGAACTGATCTTTGAAATTGAACTGAGTTCAGCTTTATTTTAATGTTTTCATTTACTCTTGTTATAATCATTTTGTAATACGATTTTCTTGATTCTACTTTATTTTCTCTGAATTTCACTTAAAAATGATCCCATCTTCTTTGCATTCCTCATTCATCATTTCTTATATGGCAATAATTGTTCTTTACATTAATATGCCGTAGTTAGCACTCCCTGGGGGCCCCTGCGCCCCCCCCTCCCCACTCACTACTATTTTGCTACCACAAAAAGTGCTACTTTAAATGTTATGTTGTTGGACTTTTTACCCCTTTGGGAACATGTGCCCGGTATTTGGGGCTGCCAACTTTCATACTGGGAACATAAGGATAGTGGACTCTTCAAAATATAAGCAGGGCCCTACCTAGGAAGTTGCCATCTCCCATTAATAAACCTTCCGTGCTAGGTTGTAGTTTCTCTTTAGTCTTTCCTTCTCTAATGATATATGTAGTCATTATACAAACTGTTCTTTCAAATTCCTCTATCCCATTTTTTTTCTCTATCCCATTTTCAAAAGAACTTAGCCCACACACTTGTACCCAACACTTTTTCCCATATTATCAGCCCCACTTATAACACACACGCCCTAAACTTTTAGAATTGTGTTAACATGATTACTATGGTACACCTCATTGTCTTTTCCATTTCATGCCCATCTCTCCCTGTTTCTTAGCCATTTCTAACAGTATCCCACTTTCTGAGGACCATTGTCCTCTATCATATACCAATCTTCCCTCTCTTATGCCTTGACCCCACTTTTGCAATGCCTTATGTGTTCCCTATCTCATCTCCAGCCTTAATTATACTTCACAACTCCCTAGAGACTGGAGACCAGTTATGGATAGAATGCCTTTGATGAGAGCAAGAAAAGGTATATTGGATAGTTAAGAGTTCATTCTGTACTATTAGTCCTTTAGCTTTAATCCATGATTAGATTGCGGTCTGTGTGGGTTACTTGGGAATAAACTTAAATTTCCTGAGCATAATGATGATGTCTGCATTTATTAAGCACCTACTGTGTGCTAGGCCCTGGGGATAGAAATATACAAATGAAACAGTCCCTGCCCTCTAGGGGCTTATATTCTATTCCATATCCTGCTGCTAAAGCATTTTTCTTATGACCCTCAGAGGTGACAGTTGGCCATGAATTCTAGAGCTAAAAACATGGGGGGCAGGTGCTTATTTGTGCAGGTCCCTGAGAACCTGCATAGGTCATTTGAGGCTGTATTTGTCCACTGAGACATATTCTGTACTGTCAGGGTAGAGAAATAGATTTCAGGTAGTTAGTGTAAATATCTTTGCCTAGATTATGTCTGTGCTTTAGAAGTGCTTTTGGCTGTTAAAAAAAATACTTTTGGCCAGTAATAATAATGACTGAAGCTATTTAGCTCAAGTACAGGTAAGTAGGTAGTAGAACCCTGAAGATGAAGACCATGGTGATGCATATATTCAAATAAAGGCCCTCTCCACATTTTGCCCTAAGGTACTTTCTTCTTTCGTGTGTTCTCTTCAGGTGCAGATACAAAATAAGAAAGTTGACATTTCCAAGGTGGCCTCAAAGTGTGGCTCCAAAGCAAACATCAGACACAAACCTGGTGAGTTCCCTTTCTCCCTGAGGTGGGAAGTTGAGTGGGCTGAAGCTCCTGTGCCCCTGCTAGGACCTGCTAAGATGCCAAGTAGAGGGGGTCACAGCCCTTTCAATCGGGAAAGAATAACTCCACTCTTAAGAAGTCCATCTGTAGGATCTGTCCCCTCATTTAGTTTGTGTACCCCAGGGATCAGATGTGCCTCTCTCCTTAGGAGTTGATGGTACTAGCTGAGAAGTCTAGGAGCTGGTGATAGCTAGGGAAAGGAGGTTGTAGATAAGGAGACTGAGTTGGTTTGAAACCCAATCACTCTGTCTACAAATTCAGTGCTTCTCTTGTTCTACAATGCTGTTTTATTAGGCCCAACTTACTAGGTATTAAGGCCTGCAAACCTGCCCGCGGTCCTACAACCAACATTTGTCAGAAGCAAGCCTTCAGTAAAGGTGTTGCTGACTCATCAGGCAACTTCTCCTGTGCCTTCCCAGTAGCTCCACTTTGATTATGATTTCGCTTCAAGTCTTCCTTCTTTTGGGGGGGGGGGGGGGCATAATGAAAATATCCCTGATTCTGAAGTCAGAGGACCTAGGTGGAGGAGTTGAGTGAACTCCACCGACTCCATCTTGTGACTCAATTCTGGATCTAGCTCAGTTCCCTTTCTATTTAATTATGGCTCTAGTCCAATTTCTGTCTTGCAAGGAAACTTTCTTCAGTCATGGGAAGTGAGAGAAAACTCCATTGCATTTTTTTTTTTAACATAGCCCTGTGTGGCTGGGAAACTGGACCACCTCTACCTGTTGCTTAGAGACCCTTAACTAAGGACCTCAGTTGTGCTGATCAAAAACCCAGTTAGGTCCAAAGATTAATGCAAGGAGTTTTCTCACAGTTATAAATCTCTAGCAGCCTATGTTTCTCAGATGAAAAGTGGCCGTGTATTGGTCATATCAATTATTATTTCCATGTTCCTTTGATTGAATATTGTCACTTGAGGGGAGTGGAACACCTCTTTTTTGTGTTTTCAGAGAATTGCATCTGCATTCTCCCCCTCTCAACTTGGAATTTCCCTAATCACTCCTCCAATTAGAAATCAAATTACTAATTTTGTCTCCTGGTTTGTACCATTAATTGTTTTCTTTAAATTTGTTGGTCTCATTTGATTGTTTTTAATACAATAAAAATCTCTCACTTTATATTCAGGGCATTTGGACTGACTGGGGAGTCCATTGACCCATTTGTTAATGACTGTTTTGCCAGTAAATCTATATAATTTGGTTAGTTTTCTCAGTTATTATTAATTATCCACCACAAGGATTCAGATCCTACTATCTGTGAAACCTTGAGTGTATCACTGAACCTCCTTTTTCCTCATCTCTAAAATGTGGAAATTGGACCAAATGGTCTCTGTGGTCCTTCCAGCTCTAAATATGTGATTGTCTGGTCTTTCTGTCTTCATAAGGCATGAACTTGAGGACCTCATTGCCCTTCCTAAGATATGATTCTCTTTATTGAATACATGCTGTGTGTGTTGTGTGACTAGAGCAGAGTGCAAACAGAATATAATTTTCTTAGTCTGGGATGTCACGCCTCCCGTTGTATGCCTTAGATCATGAGATCTTTTGGACTGCCGTAATCCACGGTTGACTCATTGATGTTGTAATACACTGTAACTCCGCTTTCTTTTTCAGTCACCTAGTTGGGCTTCCTCATCCTTCTTGTATTTGTAAAGTTGATTTTTTTTTGAGCCTCTGTAAAACTTAGCATTCTTTTGAATTTCCTTTTATTACATTCAGCTCAGTGTTTTAAGGTATTCAGTGCCTTGTGATGGTTATCTAGGCCTGATGACTTGGCCTCATCCTGTCTAGTAGTGAGGTGTTTTCTTCCCTGTCTTTAGTGTTAACTCCCTATAGTCCATTTTTGTTTAGTCCTTGCCAGTTCAGTGATTAGATTTCTTGGTAGGGAAAAGAAAAATGTTTTAGTTCCTATCACTGCTTGCTTCTTATTGTGAGGGATCAGTTTACAGATAGTAGTACCCTTAATTGTTTCTTCTGCCTTTTGAAAAATGAAGTTATCAATAAGTTGGCCAAGATGTATTAGACTTTTGCTTTTGTTTAGAGGGTTCTAGCAGATATGAAAATAATTGAAATTCTCCATCATTACTATGTCACTTTACTGTGCCAAATTTCTGACATCATTTAATTTTTTCTGTTTAAGTGCTCTGTAGTACGTTCAAGTGGTGAATGTACTCCTCTAATCCTGCCTCTAATCACCACCCTAATGGTCTTCACCATACTTTCTCCCTTTGATTCCTTTATTTCCTCAAATGAGGACATTTTTTTTTTTAGTATTCATTGATATTCTCCCTCCTTCTTCTTCACATCTTCTTTTCCTTTTGAATAAGGTATATATGTCCAGAACCATATTCCAGTCATGGGTTCCATGTCACTAAGTCTCAGAGATTCCTGTTTGTCAAAAATACTTTCTTGGATTAGAATCTCCAGTTTACTCCATTACTTACCAATATATTTTGAATATTTGTGCATGACCACCTGGGTTTTATTGTTGGTTTTCTTCATATATTTTAATCCTCCTTGAGTTCCTCTACTGCCATTCTTCCTTTATAGGAAGAATATAGTATCTCATTTACATGGTATCTGTAGTGTCTGGCTTGACACTTGTACATATACAGCCTTCTCCACTCCTCTCCCTAATCAGTTAAAAGTCTTTTTGTTTAGATCTTCAAGATCCCAAGCAAATACATATGATCAGCCTTTGTTAAATGTATTACACCTGTGGTAGAAATCTCCTCATTTCTGTATTTTAAGCCATGGTCTAAAAATGGCAATTCCTTCACAGTCATCACTTTCTTAACCACATATTCAGTTTCCAGCTTTGTTCATATGCTACTCATAAACATTTGCCTTCAGCCTGTGAATTCTTTAATATCAGGAGATTCCCTTTGAGGTGTTCTCAATTATCTGGTTCTTACCTTGTGCTTCAATGGAGATACCATAGTCCCTATACAGAGAGGTTTGAACTTAGAAAAGCAGAGAGTTGGAAGCTTGACTAGGGCTTCTGACCTAATATGGGAATTGAGGAACATGGCAGGCAGGATTCACTTGCTTCTGGCATCTCTGATATTTGTGGCCCACTTGTCTCTACCCATTCACATTCTACCCCTAATAAGTTCTGGGCTCAGATTTAAACAACAGACCTAGCCTGGTCACTAGCCCATATTTGAATTTCTTCCCAACTTGAAAAGACCTCCCATTGTTTGATGTCCATTGTCCTAGCCTTCCAGAGCCCAAGGTTACCCGCTACACTGGGATGAAGCATCACCACTGGACTTTATCGCACAAGTCATAATAGTTCTTATTTGCATAGCCCTTTAAGATTTATAAAGTCTTTTCCTCACAACAGTCTTATGAACAAGGTAGTATATTTTATGGATATATAAACAAAACTGAGACACAGAGGGGAAAGTCACTTGCCTGTGTTCATATACCTAGTGCTAGAACCTGGATTCAGCCCCAGGTCTCCTGCTTGCTTCTTCTATTATTCTTTTCACCATGGCTTCCTCTATGGTTCCAGGAGGAGGTGACATCAAGATTGAAAACCAGAAGCTGAACTTCAAGGAGAAGGCCCAGGCAAAGGTGGGATCCCTGGATAATGTTGGACACTTGCCTGCAGGTGGCACAGTCAAGGTAGATCCATTGAGGGGCTGGCACTGGGCTGGGGCACTAAGCCCCAGGACAGGGAGGTGGGTCCAGTCCAGTGCAGGGAGGAGGAGACCTAGGGGATAGTGCCAGCCTGCAGGGTGGGAAGGTGGTCAAGGTGACGAGAGGTCAGCCGCTGCCCCTCAATCTTCCCACAAGCAGTGTCTTCACTCACTTCATTATCATCACCACCTTTGTTGCCAAACCCAGAGAAAAAGGAAGAGGGATGAGGGACTGTGGGAAAAAGAAAAAGAATGTAGTGAAGTGGGAGAACTCTCCAGTCTGATTCATCAGTGTGGTACCCCTTCTCCCCAACCCCTTGAGAAATTCTGCTTCACATTAGGATGGCAGCCAAAATCCACACATCTCATTTTCTCAGTATGATAGCTTGGAATTATCCTCTTCCTCTCTTCTTACTAGCCCCCATTCCCAACAGGAGATGACCCCAGGATATCATGCCAGAGATTACCTTCTCTGACATAATCCTTAAAAGGCAAGAGACACTTCCACTCTCAACTTCTATTGCTAAGCGAGTAGCAGTACCATCTAGCATTCAGGTATTTTTCTAAACCCTTTTTGTAGTTTGTGTCACAGAACCAACTTGTCTCTGCTGGTTTGTTGGTCTCCTTGCCATCCTGGAATTTAAAATGGCATCTGGCCATCTTCTCCCACCTGTAACTGAACAGGAATCCCCCTTACCACGTGCTGGACAAGAAGGTGTCCACCCCCATGGAAAGGGAGCTCATTTCATTCTTGGATAGCTAATAGGAACTTTTTATAACAACAAGCCAACATCAGCCTTCTTCGATTTGACCCCTTGGAGCCAAGTGGAAGATTGTGCTACCTTTGCACACAGTCTTTCCCTTTCCCACCTAGGCCTGGGGGCAGCTTGGGCATCCCAGGCCTCAATATTAGTAACTTATTTCTTAGTCCCAACTCTGTTTCGCAGAGAATAGAAATGGGTCTCAGGCTACTGCTTGATTCCATAACCAGCTCATCAGGTCCTCTCACCGTGCCGTCCTTCACTCCCTCTCTGCACCCCCACCCCCCCACCTGTCTTTGGCATTTGGCTTTGTCCCTCTGTGATGCCTGGAAGTGCCATGTTTTTTTTTTTTTATTTGAATCTAGTGTAATGGTTTCTCATGAGTCCTGAGCTCAGAGTTGGCTTCTAGCCATTCCCTGCTTCACAGAGAATAACCATTTTTCCTAGGCTGGGACTCCCTCCTTCCAAAGCGCTTTGGGTTTGCTCTGTGTGCCAAGACATTGTCCGCCATTTATTCCATTGCATGAAAATGGCTTGGGAGCATCTGGGGATCATCCTGGCAGGTTCAGGGAGATGCTGGGATAGGAAGCTCTGGCTGTCATCTCTAGGGATGTCTTAGAATGTAATGTGATGTTCTTTATCGTGAAGTAACAGCCAGGACGGGGATGAGAATGAATGAAAACACAGGGCTCAGTTAGTCAGCATTTATCGAGTGCCCACGGTACGTGAGATGCTTCATGAAGACGTGTAGGTATTGTCAGAGGAGAACAAAGACAGGGAGCCAAAGACTATCAGAGGCGGAAGTGACCTTTGAGGCCATCTAGACCAGGCCTCTCTCTTAGCAGTGTCGCAGTTTCCACAGTGAGTCCAGTACCACAAAGCTAGTGACTGAGTTAAAATTAGAATGCAGATTTCCTAACTTTTAGCCCAGTGTCACTTGCGCTTGAAATCCTAAGAGTGCTACTTAGTGGGGGCCTAAAACTCCTTTGGTTGATGGCACCAGAACACAAGGGTCTAACTGAAGATCCCAGCAGCAAGGGTAGACAATTAGCAGAGACGGAGACACTGGCTGGAGCCCCAATACTGTGATCCTAAAGGTTTGATGTCTGAAAGACAACAGATTTTGTGAAGAGGACCCTGGCATTTGGCAAGCTAGTATTTCCTTTGGATTTTGGGGGGTATTTGAGAAGGGATGGCTCCCCTTCTCCCCATGTTTTTCTTTACTCCGAATGAGAAATCCATGAGGAAAATTTCTGGAACTTGACACAAAAGAAAGGGTGCTGATTCCTTTAGATCGTTAGGGCATTCTACTCCCTCTCCTCTAATTTTTTTTAAAGAAGCAAGCTAAGGCCCTGAATAGAGAAAGGACTTGCCCAGTGTTCCATCTCTGTTAGGTGTTGGCACCAGGATTTGGCTCTGTCTTTTGACCGTTCCCAGTGTCTCTCACTACCTCAGATTGCTGAGTTCTTCACACCTCTTGGCCTGTACTGGAATGGGGCAAGGCTGTGTTCAGAACCCTGTGTTGCCATACCATCTCACCTCATCCTCCTATTGATCATCCATTGTCTCCTCCCCACCCCACTGTTTCATTGTAGACTGAGGGGAGCGGCGAGGTGGCCCCACTGTGCCTGGCCCCTCCGAGCGGGGAGCCTCCTGAGGCCCAGGCAGGCCCCACCACGCAGGCGAATGGCGTAGGGCATCTAACCCCCTCACTGGGTGGTGACCAAAGGGAAACTCAGACCTTCGACACCCAGATCCAGGAGACAAGTAAGTTCACCGTGCCTCCTCTGTGCTCCCCCACAGCTCCACCTGGCTTGGTGGGCTCCAGCGAGACATCTGGCGAGCTCACTTCTTCAAATTGAAACTTTTTAAAAGAGGTGTCTTCCCAAGTTTTAATGAGCTACTTAACTTTTATTTTCCAGGCATCTAATGATGAAATTCTGGTCTCGTCTTCCATCCCCCTTCCAATAACCCCAACCCTACCCCTACCCCATGCCCATATCTTCCTCTTCTACCTCTTTCCTTTACTCCTTACCTCCTGTATCCCTACCGCCTCCCCAATGTCTTGCTACAGATTGAAACCTACAAGCTGACGTTCCGTGAAAATGCCAAGGCCCGCACTGATCATGGAGCTGACATTGTCTCCAAACCCTCCCCCTTCCCTGGCAACACCACCTTCATCAGCCAGAGCTTCAACTCCCTTGCCTCGGCCACCCCTTGGCAGCAGCAGCAGCAGCAACAGCAGCAATAGCAGCCTCCCACCATAGGAGCTGCCCCAGCGGCTTTTTCTCCCGAAGGCTTGTGACTGGGCTCCACATTCTCATGGCCTCTCTGGGAGCTCTTTTCGAGAATTGGCTAGCTCAGCTCTTTTGTACCCCGTGTTCCTGAGACACACACGCACACTGATTTGGAATGCCAGAGCTCAGTGTGTCTCCCTTCTTCACCCTTCCTTCTCCACCCGTGCTGCAGTCCCTCAGAGCCCAGACTTCCCCTACTGACATCTCCTACTTTGGAAAGGTGGACCTTCACTGGGGAGGTGACTCTTCTTCCATAGGGCTTGGAGGGAGAATGCTAGAGACAGGAAGAAAGCTGAAGCTTTTCCTAATTCAGCCCTCCTGCCCATTTACCTCCCATGCATGTCTCAAACCTGGCTTTCTTTTCCTACCCACTAAAGCTGAAGCTATACACACACATGGCCCATGCTACGCCCAGGAGCAGTGCTAATAAGGGGCAGCTTGAGCTCCGATGGAAAAAGCTGGCAGCCAATTTCCTCGGTTTTTTCCTTTTCCTTTTTTTTTTTAAACAAAAAGAAAAACTAAAAAACCAACATAAATTTTGTTCTTGCTGCTTAAGTTTCTGGTGTTCCTATTTAATGAAAAAATATATAATGCACACATACTAGGCTGTTCTTACCCAATAATTTTAGCTTTTTCATTTTTTGTGATGAAGTGTTGACAGTTTCATTGTGCTTACCAGCCTCATGTAAGTTTCCTTTATTAATTTTTTCCCCTTACTCCCCAATTTCCAACCCCAGCAGTCCTAGGAGAGGTAGAGATGTTAATCTCTGTATTTGACATACATATCCATGCAGGTGTAACTTCTTTCTTTTTAATAATCTGAAAATTCAGTGGAATTCTTTTATGGGTTGAAGCCATGTCTGAAAAGAGAGTACTAAGAATGTGTTGAAGGGAAGATGGCCTTGGGGAATACATTGAATTGCCATGATGGATTAGCTGGGTGTCTCTACCCAAAAGTGAACTGTTTTGTGGTCAAAGGCGTAGTCAGAGAGAATTGGAATGCAACCCTGATGCCCCAATCTAGGCGTGCGGTCTGCGGGATAGGCCTGGCTCCTCAGAGGAGGCTGCCAAGAGGAATAGTGGAAATGGGACAGGAGTTGGGGGAGTTATGATAAATAGGTGGGATTTTTTTTTCTATTGTGAGAAGGATCCAGTTTGATGTGTGATGATCAAGGGGGGTGTGTGTGTGTGTGTGTGTGTGTGTGTGTGTGTGAGTGTGAGTGTGAGTGTGTGTGTGCTGATCTTTTCTAACAAAGACTGGTCATGGGGTTTATGTACTGTATTATACCACAGGATTGAGGCCCTGAAAAATCAGGAACCTTCTCACCAAGGGGCTATAGAAGAGAAGGAAATTGGGTTCTAAGGGACAGAGTCCCAGTGGGGCAGATGAAGTGGCCCTAAACAGCTTTGTGCCCAGAATTTTAGGGAGGAGGGGTTGAATCAGGTTTGACAAAGAAACAAGTGAAAAAGAGAATTAGAAATGGAGGACAGCCTGGTTAAGGAGAGAAGGATAGGAGTGAGGAGGAGAGGGGGCCCAGAGGAGCCCCCTCAAGGGCCAGGTGTTCCTCTTGGGGAAAGTCAACAAGAATGAGGTGAAATTCTGGGATCTGTATGACACATGAAGATTCTTATTGCACTTGTATTTTTTTATATTAAAGTTTGCATGGTTTCTAATAAAACGACATTAAAACATAATGTAATTTGCATTGAAAATGTCTGGGAGTCTCTTAAGTGCTTTCTCCTCTTGGAAAACCAGATCCATCAGGGTAGCTTTGCATCTGACAGGACTGGCCACCAATCAATATTAGACCCCTTCCTGACCCTTTACTTTGACTTTTGGCCCCAGAGGCAGCATGGTCGTTTACCCTTTGAATTGGGAATTTATTTAAGTTCAGGTGTGGTCCTTAAGCCATGTATTTTGGGGGAAGAGATTTTCCTTTCCACCCCACTTCTGTCCACCATATCCTTATTGAATTTGATGTCCATCATCCAGTCACTTTGACCCTCCATTTTATTCTGCCCAATCCCCAACTTTTTCTTTCTCTAAACTTCCATGGGATAGCAGGTTTAACAGGACAGAAAGGGGGTGAAGGCAGCTTTTAGTGATGGCAGAGGGGCCAGTCTCACTGTCTCCCCATGGCAGTGCCCAAGTGCTTCACCTTAACTGAGTAGTAGGGTTCTGGAAGTTTCTAGCTAAGTAGTTTTCAAGATAAAGCTGTGACTTTTATCTTGAGCTCCACAATAGCTAAGGGCTTTTGTTTGTAATGTTCATGAAGTACTGTGTGTACATTTCAGTCCCGTCCTCCACATGGCTTAACAGTATTTAGTTCTTGGCCTAGGTAAAACAGACTCAATCTGTAGACCTTATGACTCAAAAGGATTTAGAACTGGAAGGAACCTTAGAGATGACTCATTCCAACCACTTCATTTTGTAGATGGGGAAACCGAGGTTCAGAGTTGTAACTTGCCTCAGGATCACATACAGAGGTAGGGAGCAGTGCCAGGTTGATTCTCCCTTTTAAGTGGAGGAATTGCAAAATGTGTAGGAAGTTAGAAACAGAGTCTCGTGAGCTTGAGGTTTTTAGAGAGAACTTTGTGTGCCTATCATCACTTCAAGAGGAAGGCAGGAGCAAGCTATGCAGTCTGAGTAGAGGAGAAGGCTTATTGTACAAAAGGAAATGGGGCTCTCGCTTAGCCAGTGGAGTAGAGGAATGGGTGGGCATATGGCATATATAAATACAGATTTTTCTGGTAGCCTCCCTTGCTGTCTAATGGTGACTTGCGGGGATCTGGACCTGTGTAGAACAGGTAGAGAGAGCACTTAGCTTGCCTGGGGCAGCTGGTGGTCTGATTAGCAACCCTTGGGGGCATTCTTGTCTTAATCTCAAACATTCAGGTTTAACCTCCCTGAGGAAGGGAGGGGAGGTTTCCTTTAGCCACCTCCTCTCCAAGGGAGGAAAGACAAGAGGCACCTACCTCTCTCTCTGTCTCTCTTGGGACTAGATTTGGAAGCGCTGAACCTAAGTCTCTAAAAGTCATATTACTTGATCAGTCAGTCCTGTTCTTCCCAGCATCAGTAGGGCTTTTCCCTCTCCTCGCTTAGATGAAACCAATTTTGAAGCGTTGAAGGTGTGATGATGATGATTTCAGTTATTCCCATGGATCTTTATCATTATGTCCCCTTCTCAGGTGTTGGGTGAGTTCTTTTGCTCCAGGATGACAGGCAGGTCCTTGGTGTAGGAGGTGGCCAGGGCCACCCTCTTATAGGCCTTGAATCTCTTGGCAAATGTCTGTTAATTTGAAAGCTCTTCACGAGGGTTGGACTTTGCCCTACCTTGGAACTGCCCTTCTTTTTGTTTTTTGTTTTTTTTGTTTTGTTTTGTTTTTAGGCAACTGGGGTTAAGTGACTTACCCAGGGTCACACAGCTAGCAAGTGTCAAGTGTTTGGTCTGAGGCTGGATTTGAACTCAGGGCCTCCTGACTTCAGGGCTGGTGCTCTATCCACTGTGCCACCTAGCTGCCCCCTGGAACTGCCCTTCTTATTAACAGTAGACTGATACCACCCTTTGAACTTTATCTCCTTCCTTCCCTCGTTATGGACATTAGGAAGCAGGACTAGGGAGTGGAGAGGGGAAAAGATGTGGTTGGGGAATCTGTTCTCCACCCTACTTGTGGCCTACCTCAGGAACAAGGAGGGCCTGCCACCCAGGCCAAAATCTGGGATGAACATTTCTCCTTAAACCTTCTTCCCCCACGCCTCTAGGACAGTGACTGTTGGCCAGTGGACAGAGTGAGGTTCAGATAGGTCCTGTCTCATAGCTTTCTTCAAATGGGATGCTGTGTCCTCCCTCATCCTGTCCCAGCCCACGAAACAGGCAGGCTGGCATAGGAACACGGTCCACAGAAAGGGGATGGTGTGATACGCTTTGGGAAAGTCTCAGACTTGGGGTTTTTTCTTTCTCATTTTCCTAGTTTGCTTGTGGTTATTGTTGCTGTCCCTTCTAGCTGTTATATGGCACTCTCTGAGTGACCTTGTGATTTTGACTATTGTAAAGATTTGAAATAACTACATAAATAAAGCTTCTCAGTGTTCTAACCTGGGGACATGGCTGTCTGATTTCTGCTCCCAAACAACTTGGTTTCTCCTCATTAGTTGTTAATAATAGAAAGTCACTTGGAGTACTCGTTTCACTTCTATGAACCCCTTCCTTCCTAATCTGTTAAAGGGGATCCTTTTGTCTTCTCATGACGAAGTATGAAGATGAAGCTTGGCGAGAGAAAGGAAACTACTACCAAGTGCATGTAGCTGTTGGGATCCACCTTCTAATTATTCACTCTTTTCCCTCCTTTAGCCCCAAATCTAGCCCATAGCAGAAGGCAAGATCTTCCTGTCAAGCTCTTATTGTTGCTTCCCACCCCTTTAAGTAGGAGATTGTTTCCCGAAGAAGCAAAGTGGGGAAAAGTGGGGGACTTTGTGTCCATGGGATAGCATGGTGCTGCTCTTAGGGTAGAGTAGTTGGCGTTAATGATAAATGTGGATCAACAGGGTGTTAGAGGAAACAGTGACAAATGATTGAAGACTTTTCTGCAGTGAGTTATACATCCTGTTGCTAGAAAGGGATTTTAAGAGAATGGGATCTGAGAATGTTTGGTCCCATTCCTAGAGCTACCCTGAATTATCCCATCTCAATTCTCCAGGGGAGTTTAGAGCCCTCAGTCAGGAACCAAGAGAAGCCCTTCCCCACCTTCTCCTTCTCTGTGCCCTTTAAAAGCTAAGGCACCCAAGGCTACTTATTCTGGGGTGAGCAGAGCAGCTCTAAGGGGGTGGATCTAGAATCCTGGAGGACCTAGAGGATCTGAGAAGAAATGGGGAAAAACGAGTGTGACTGTGAAAAAAACCATGTGTAGTCTGGCTCCTTATTATGCTGCAGTGGACTAGTGACAACCTCTCAACTTCACTTTCCATGTCTAAAGGGTTGGATTAAATCATCTCAAAGGACCAGTTCTGCTACACCATGCAAAATAAAAAGCCCAAGTTTTGTAGTGCTTTGTAGTTTACAAAGCACTTGCTTAATAGTAAGCCAGGAGTTCTTACTACAAAACAAAACCCATCACGTTAACACTTTATAGCTTATAAAGCAGTGTGATTTACCTCCTCACACAAAGAACTGGGATATAAACTTAAGTGTGATTCTAAATGCAATGAACTTTCTTGTCCCTTGCCTCTGAGGTTCAGGTCCAAAGCCATGCCACTTTCTTGACCAAAAAAGTAAGTTGCTCTTTATTGTCCACTGGTAGAGGTCAGCAAACTACAACCTGCCAACCATTTTTGTACAGATGATGAGTTAAGAATGTTTTACATTTTGACAGCTCGTGCTGTTTACAGAAACAGATTCTAGATTGTGATGTGCAGTTTCCCAACCCTTAGTTTGAAGGATGAAATCCTTTAGCCTGACATTTAAGGCCCTTAAAATCCTAACTCAGATATACCTTTCTAGTTTTGTTTTCTGCGAAATTTGGACTGTTCTCCACTTCAGCCTCCTTCAGTCATTTATAAAATGTAGGCTGATGTTCAGCCCAAATGTCCCCACCAAAGATCCCTTATCTCAAAAGCTGAAATATACTTGACCTAGATCACTTAGTCCTTCATACCCTACATTGTGGTTTTTGTTTTTTTTTTTTGTGTTTACCTTTATGCGTATACCACCACCCCAAGCAGAATATAAGTTCTTCCAAGGTAAGTGCTTAACAATGATTGAACTGAAAAAAAAAAAAAAAAATCAAGGAATATCCATCTGTGGAAGATGCAGTAATCCTGGCTGAGCCAGCAAATTCAGATATTCCTACTACTTTAATTTAGAAAAAGCACTTTCACAATACATTCCTTTGCAACTTTCAAAGTCTGTGATTTTATTTGAAACTCATAACATCTGTAGATGGAGACTAGTTTTTTTGTTTTTTTGCCAGGCAATGGGGTGAAGTAACTTGCCCAGGGTCACAGGTCTTCCTGAATCCAGGGCTGGTGCTCTGTCCATGGCACCATCTACCTGCCCCCTGGAGACTAGTTTTTTAGTTTGATTGCACAGGGTCACGTAGCTAGTACATGGCAGAACTTGGGTGTTCTGAGTGTACCATGACCTGGTAGTTTTCTAGCTTTGTCCCATGACATTTAAGTGAAAAAAGTTTTAGACCAGACCTTCTTACCTACTAGCACCTCTGGGCAAAGAGGTATGCAAAGCAGAATATTAGTTTTCCCTATACCCAAAAAGGAGAATCCCCATTACACCAGTAGTTTAGGGAGGAATATTGCTCCAGAAATAACAGGGAAATATATGCATCTTGAGGTTAGAAATCTTTACACCCTCAAGAGCCCTGTCATTTCCTAAGTAGCCACATCACCTTTGGGGACAGAAGCAAGTACTAAACAGAGATAAAAGAAGTATACAACACATTCACAAGGGATAAATAGAACTTTATTTAAATAAACATTTGCGCTCTGTACATAGCCCCTGGGATGGGCGGGCAACGGGGAGGGGGCTCAGTCATCAGCGGTTTTCCGAACATCAAAGCTACCGCAAGGCCCACGCAGCAGCTCCACGAGCAAGGCCAGCAACTGGCTGTGCTCCTGCTGCACATCTGGCGGCAGGGCAGGCAACTCACAGCGGAGGCTCCGCTCTACCATGCGGCCAAGGGCCCGGCGAAGCTCCCGTAGC